ACAATAGAGGTCAACAGGAATGTTGCCACTTTCTTCTGAGCCAATAATTTAACTCCCATTCTAAGAATCCAAGTAGTGTAAGTAGCTCCACGATGTGCTCATAAATGTGTCCATTGTATCAGTTTATCAGTTCCTCTCTTGACTTCGTTCCCGCTCGACGGGACACTTGCTACACAAATCTCTTCCCATTTATTTAGTTTTTGCTATTCACGTATGATGAAAGCACATGGTGTTGGTCGTCTGATACATCCTTAATGCCTAGGTGTGACTTCGAGCCGTCCTTGAATTGCAAAGTTACTAATATTTAGCCCCAACTAGTGCTAGCTTATCAAATGCAAAGCTTAGTGTGATGGAACTTGATTTGTAAGACATCGTGATAAAACAGTCTGCCCCAATGTGTAGACGCCAACGCGAATATGATAACCTGTGCAACAAACTCCCCTAATGGGGTATGGAAATTAACCAATTGTTTTATCAACGGGTATGTATACAGGTAAAAGCTTAATTCGCGGTGACACAAGGTGTGAGAATGTGGTGAATATGTGGGGGTTGATTGATATTAAGAGGTAGCGTATGACGTGAAATATTGAGCCGCACGATGAGCATCACAGTATGAACATGAAGTTGTAATCTGTCAGCATTTCAGAGCTAATAGCTACTCCTTGAACAGCTGTGAACTATCATACCATAGTTTAACTAATCCTATGAATATCTCGGATGAGTATAGGTCGTTCACCTCAAATTAATTGGTGAATAATTTCAAAAGAAATTTACAGTTGTATTAAAACATGCGAAAGCGTCCCAAAGCTTTCTTCGATGTAGTATACTTTTGTTTCGATGTATTGAGCAGCATCCATGTCATTGGCAAAGTGCATGATCGTGGTTATGTATGACAAATGTAGCTCTAGCCGTCGTATAAAGACCAGAACTTTGGTCATCTCTATCTTTGAGGTGTCTCTCGCCTCCATCCCTGTCTCCCTTACACACAATACGGAGGGAAAAAAAAAAAGACGAAAAAAAAAAAAATTTTCCTGATGCCCAGTTTCCAAGAATCCATTCATTCTTAAATCTACATAAACACACATATCAATAACTTACATAATGGCATTTGGAGCACCAAGAGGTAGAGGCGGAAGCCGTGGAGGCGGTCGTGGAGGATTTTCCGGAAGAGGAGGTCGCGGTGGTGCCTCAGCAGGAAGAGGAGGTCGTGGTGGAGCCAGAGGAGGTGGAAGAGGCGGAGCCAGAGGAGGAAGAGGTGGTGCTAGAGGAGGACGTGGCGGTGCACGTGGTGGTGCTAAGGGCGGAGCCAAAGTTGTTATCGAGCCACACAGACACGCTGGTGTATTTATTGCTAGAGGAAAAGAAGATTTGTTAGTCACTAAAAACATTGCTCCCGGTGAATCTGTTTATGGTGAAAAGAGAATAAGCGTGGAAGAACCAGCAAAAGAGGAAGGGGCAGCTCCAACTAAGATTGAATACCGTGTGTGGAATCCTTTCAGATCCAAGTTGGCTGCCGGTATTATGGGTGGTATTGATGAATTGGGTGTTGCACCAGGAAAGAAAGTCTTGTATTTGGGTGCAGCCTCAGGAACCTCTGTTTCCCACGTTGCTGATGTTGTAGGACCAGAAGGATTGGTTTACGCTGTTGAGTTTTCCCACAGACCCGGAAGAGAGTTGATTGGTATGGCCAAGAAGAGACCAAATGTGATTCCAATCATCGATGATGCAAGACATCCACAAAAGTACAGAATGTTGGTCGGAATGGTTGACTGTGTCTTTGCGGATGTTGCACAACCAGATCAAGCTCGTATCATTGCCTTGAACTCGCACTTGTTTTTGAAAGATGGTGGTATTGTTGTTATATCTATCAAGGCCAACTGTATCGATTCTACTGTTGATGCTGAAACCGTTTTTGCTAGAGAAGTGCAGAAGTTGAGGGAGGAGAGGATCAAACCATTGGAGCAATTGACTTTGGAACCATACGAAAGAGATCATTGTGTGGTTGTTGGTCGTTACATGAGAAGTGGAATCAAGAAGTAAAAGTAGATTGAGTTTCCAGGATAGCAAATTGTATATTAGAATAAACTTAAAATATTGAGCAAGTGTTAAGCATTCAGACGACAAAGTAGTGTAGGAACTCTCATGATTGGTAAATCCAGAGAGCATTGCAATACAGTAGCACAGTGGTTTGCGCAAAAAGAGAAGACTTGATGTGCTCTCCGCAATTTCCGTGTCTAGTAATGCTCTTCTCCATCATTTCCTTGACTTGTTGTTCCACTACCTGCAAATACATCGCATATTTACTAAATATAAGATTCGAGTCTCTAACTACATAAACACAAAATGAGTCAATCAATTCTGGCCTCGGACAAGGTCAATGGCTTGATATTATTGGAAAATACCGAGGATCCGGATTTGAATCTGTTTATCTTCTTCAATTTCTCGCGTACAACCATGACAGGAACAGTCGACTTTGTGACTAAATAGTTGGACAATGAACCAAGTAAGACTCCCTTGATGGCACTTTGACCTTTTGAACCAACAACTACCAAGGTTGGTTTCAAGTTGTCGATAAATTCCAAGATTAAGTGCCTTGGAATGGGATGGTGCACAATTTCAATGACGACATGTATTTGAAGCTTTGTAAGCTTCAACAAGTTGAGAACTTGCTGTTTAGCCTTGTTTAACATATTGAGCCGTTGCTGTTCACGCTGATTCTCATTGTTTCCCTTCAAATTGTGGTTGGAGTCGTTATCCTCAATAACACATACAATAAACAACACAGACCCATCAACTAAAACCGTACCTAAAGACCATTCGAGGGCAAAAATGGATTCTGGAGAGAAATCCATACACAATAAAAACATCTTTGGTTTCACTTTTGGATTGACCAACTGGAAAAAATTTCCCCTTGTTATTGTTTGAATAACTCTTGAGTGTGCCTTGTTGGAGTCGACTTCCCCTTCACGGATGGTTTCATTTAACTGCGAAGCAAATTCACTATCAAGTTTATCTTCGACGGCCGAGGTGTAGGGCACCATAAATTCATCTTCAGTGGAGGAGCCATCTTTCCCTTCTTTGTTTACCTGAGATTGAGGATCTACTTCTCTCTCATGTCTGGTGCTGGGGTCATGCCCATGCCCATTTCCATTCTCCTGTTCAATTATCTTCTTTCGATAGGCTTGGTAGTTTTCCAATTTTTGTCTCCTTGCTTCAACATCCTGGTCAGACTGGATCAAGTTCAAACGCTCCAGCCCTGTGAGTCTTTGTTTATCGCTTGCCAATCTATTCAATACATCGGGATCGATTTTCGTTCCAGCATTCTTGGCAGCTGCAAGAGCTCGTTCGTTGGCAGTTAGCTCTTCCAATTTCTTAACAGTGGATCTATCATTCAAATTGGAGTTTTCTAGGATGGCACTGACTTCATTGATCATTTCATCCTGACAGGCGTAATTGGGCAATATATTTCCAGTGTCATCGTATTGAAATTTTTCGTTGTTATCGTCATCACTGATATGCTCCTCTTCGCTTACTTCATCCTCCCATGCAGAAGAGTCATTTGTTTCTCCTGGTTTTTTAATCCGTTCCAGAGGGTCATGATTTGTGATTGACCACTTTAATCTCCCATTGTAATCCTCCCTTGAAACCGAGGGTGAGCGACTATTGAAGGAACTTCTGCCCCCACTGCCAGATGCCCCAGGAGACAAAGACCTTCCCCTTGTCATGGAATTTTGTATTATTGCAAGCTTCTCTGCCTCTAATCTTGATTGACGGCTGGCCATGTTTATCGAATAGGTAAGCTACCCCTTGAATACTCAGTAAAAAATTTCTATAGCAGAAAACGGTTTGATAAATGTCAAGTGTGTAGCTAATAACTGTCTGATGTAGCGGGTGTCTAGATAAGTAGCTGCAGATTGATTCAATTGTGTTGGGAATAGCTTATAAATGTTACCGTAACCGTTGTGTGGTGATCTCAACTTTTCTTGTCCTGTTTCTATAACTGTAGCAATCACACACAAAGAAAAAAGTGATAAAGACAACAATAGTACTGCAGTACCGTAGTAATACATAGTAATCATTGATAAATGCGCACGACCCTCTCTTTATTATAACACACACAAACACACACACACACACACAGTTAGTAAGTAAAGTTAATTAGGAATGAGTGTTCATATGTTAGAAAATAAGTCATATAAGTAAGGTAGGATTATAGATCTAAACAAGAAGCAAAGTATAGTGACAACAACATCTAAAAGTGGCAACTTCATGGACACAGGGAAACTGCATGACACAACAACAGGGGTGACAAGATCATTGGCGTATCATCATTGGTCTTGATGTAGGAGCAACGGTCAAGTATCCTTCCGCCTCGTCACCCGAGTCATCTTCACCCAAATACAGACTAACAAACGACTGGTTGGCCAGACCAGACATTCTGCTAGAATGGGTGTGCAACGACATCAAGCTTTGAAGCTTTTCTCCATAAATCTTGACCCCCGAAACAAATCTCCGGACTCTTGCTTTGAACATCTTCATTGGCGTGTCCGCCATATACCTGGAATCGGGTCTCCACTCTTCTTCTTCTTCTTCATCGTCATCCCACAAGTCACACCGAATTGTCGTTGCATATTCCCCCCGCATAGCAGCTGGACAGACATCTTCAGTCTCTTCCTCCTCGTCCAGATCCAAACCAAGCTGAAGCGCAACACGTCCTGATTCTGTGTCGGGCGAGAATATTGGAACCACTTCGTCTGTAATGTACTCACCAGGAACCCATCCAGTCCTCTTCAAGATGCTGGGCTTTCCATCAATGTTTGTTGTTGGTGCTTTCCTCTTGGATCCCCAAGACCACTTCCTACGAAGTTTCTTGTCCTTGTTCTTCCCTTCAATAACTCGAGTAAAGTCCTGATGCTTGTCATTGCTAAACTGACGCACCTCCATCTTATTATTGAACTTCACTTTGTTACCACTGTCTGACTCACCACCAATGAGCAACACTTCTGGGGTCCATTTCATTGGGGCTGGTGGTTGAGGTGGTCTGTAGTTAAGGATTGCGTTTTCTATACTGGAGATGGACCCATTCTTTGATTTGTCCCCATTTGGGTCACTCACTGCAACAGCAGCTTCAACGTCATCTTCGCCGCAATCGTCCCATGGAGTGGCAAATCTTCGGACTGGTCCCGTGACAAGGCTAGGTGTGGAAGACATCTTTGGTTCATCTGAGTTGATCTTGTTGTACTTCAGCTTCTGCGCGGTCAGTGGTTTTCGTGGGTTGAATGACGAGACTTGAGGATTGAAACAGTTGGTGGAGGTGTTTTTGTTGAGAATGCTCAAAGTGGATGGCAGAAAGCTTGTTTGGTTTTGTTTTGGTTGTTGTGTGTGTCTCTTGGTCCTAGCAAGCATCATTTTTGAGGACTCAATAACCATCGACGTATCATTCTCGTGCTTGTCGTCGTCCTTGAAGTCTAGTGGGTAGAATGAGCCCCCTTTAACAACGCCAACGTCTTCATCCTCTTCTCTTCTCATCTTGGACTTCGTCAACCTTTTACTTGAGAAGTCATTTGATCCGTGTTGATGTTTGGTGAATGCGCTTTTGGTATGGGTAGTTGTATTTGAAACATTTGATGATGTAGACTGGGAAAAAACGGGGTAGAATGCGGTAGCTTTGTGTTGGCTCTTGACAGTTCTGGTTTCAGCTGAGAAGTGAGTGTTTGGATGTGCTTGAGTGGGTGGTGCTGATGTCTTGTTCTTGTCATCAACATATGAAACCAAATCCTTCAACTCCGACAATGCTGATTCAATCAAAGTAAACCCGTAGTCATCGTTTTCCTTACTGTCGGATACGTAAGCGTTGTTGAAATGAGAAACGCCTTGGCCCTCTTGCGAGGAGATAGTGATAAAGCTGTACATGTGTAAATGTGGTTTTGGTAATGGTGAGGAGAAAGAAAGGAGGAAAGTACAATTCAGAATCTGACTTACTCCCTGGGCCCTTTTATAGTTTTCAAAAGTTTGTAGGAATATCAAAAAAATTTTGCACCCTTTTTGAAGGCTTTTTGAGGTACGCAAAGAGTCACTGTAGCTTGATGGATAGTAAGCCCTTGGTAAGTGCCCCTGCCTATGTTCAAGCTGGGAGGGCTGATCTGGCCTGTGCATATGGAATTAGGCACTCTAAGTTTACGGGGTTATGCAGGTTGGAAGTTCCTGTAACGTTTTGTTCCAACAACACGTGACCAAAGTGATGAGTCCATCTGCGTCTTAGATGATGATCCAGAAACACAATGGCGCGGATCTGTCACCAATATCAGAGACCTGAGGGTAGTAGCGTGCTGTATAGGGACATTCACTTAATTCTTCTAGCTGTTCTTGTTTCAAACACATTGATGCAGTATCGGAAATGTACTGTAGACCTGAAATGAACACGCGATTGGGCGAATGTGACCTTCCCGAGTAGTAGTCAAGATCAAGGTCAATCTGCTGTGGCCATAGCCAAACCTCTCGTTCCAGAGTCTGTACTTTCCAACCCCAACGAGCTTGTTGTATGCATGAACTGTGAATGTACACCTCCAAAACAAAGGAAACACAAAGGAAAAACAAAGGAAATGGAAACTCATCTATATTCGAACCTTCATTTGCGTATCATAGAACGGCCGGTGGGACACAATGCAGTCCCACTGTACGACGACTATGGGTGGAAAGCCAACAATGATAGATCTGTCTCTTTGATGCTCAAATTTTGTAAAGTATTGACAGTCTATGATCTCTGTATCGTGAAGCTTGAAAGTCATTATGAGCCATTACAGAAGAGTGGGTACAGAGTGAGACCTGAGGAGTAACACTGCGGTGTCGAGGTGGCAAGACAATGGGACTCGTGTATGGAGAGTTGACCGGTGGCTAAGTAGTAGCTAGGCAGGAGATGGGCTCATTTCTCTGAGTAAACAAAGTCAAGAATAAATGGAAGCTGCGGGAAAGAGCCGTGCTAGTAGTAGTG